ATTCTTTTTACACTAAATGCATAATATTTTTCCTATTTTCTTACTAAATGTTTCTGCCCTACTACCAAGTAAACATGTAGAAGAAGCATTCCTATTATACTGATGACTATTTGTTGATTTTTTATATTAACTTTTCTATATTATACAAAAATAAATGGGTGGAAATGTCTATTTGGTCACTTTCATATTATTAAAGTATCAATAAAGAAGAAAATTTTTACATCAGACTACTGATGCTACTTATTACATTATAGCATGAACAAGTTTTCTTGTCATTTTGTTTTTGTTTTCCTAAGTTTTATTTATACATTCTATTAAAGATATTTTTCTTTTAACCATATCTAAATATGCTATGTTGGGGTTTTACCGTAATGCCTTACTTATATTAATGGCTTCAAATAAGGCAAAGGTAATTTTTAATTTTTTTAATGTACAAGTTTTACTTCTGTGAACTATTTCAATAATAATGTTAAAAATAAGCATAAATGAATCAAACTAAAATGAATGTATTATAAAAATTCAATCAGAATATTCTAGCTTCTCAGTAATTGTGTGTCATTGAAACTGTTCAAGAATTACAAGTGTCTAAATATTCAATGACAGGTCAGTGGTTAAGTGCTTATCCAAAAGTATACGGATTAATTAGTAATTAATTCATCACTTAATTTAAAGTGAGATAGAGCTCTCATTGTTGCATATATACATGCATGAGTCTCGGTTACAATTTCGGCAAAATAAGATCTACCATTCTATGGGTGTCCAAAGTCTTTAGGACATGATTATACAATAATGGGTATCAAGAGTTTGGCATAGAACTAGCAATCAATCAGGCAGTCATTTATTAGACACCTAATTTGTATCCACTAGCCTATTAGACTTTTAAGTCATACGAAAGGAGACATTCTCTAATTTTAATTACAGTTCACTCATAGATCTACTGTGAAATAGGTTGGGGTGATGAAGATCATGGGATTTATCCTTTTGGCAGGATGACAGATGAAGTACTTTGAGAGTTACTCTCTCTGGAATATAAGAAACATAGTAGTGTTCATGTCATTATTAGTTCACAAGAAAACAAAAAAAATGTATAAAACTATGAATAAATACCATGCAAACAAACATACAGACACACACACACATACACACACAGACATACAAACATATATATTGGAGGCATTCCCTCTTAAATGAGGTACAATTTAATGAGGCCAGTTGTCATCTGTTCTAGTAAACATTTTACCAGATATACAAGAAAGTTAAGATTTTAAAATTACATAATTTGTAAAAGAAGAACCTAAAATATTATTTACAGAAGACATGCTTGCTATGTAAGAAACTAAAAATAATTTACAAATTTTTTTAAATAATATGGATGCTTTATCCAGTGCCTAGTTAGATCAATATACAAAAAATAAATTTCATTTCTATATACCAAAAAAGTTCCAAATATAAAGATAAATACCACTTTCAATAGCAAAAAGCATTTTCAACATGTAATATATTTTTTAAAACGTTATTAAAAGATATTTAGAGATCTACATAAATGAAGAGATAAGTAAGACTTGTGTGTAGGTAGATTCAATACCTTAAGATGTCAGTTCTCAGCAAATCAGTTATAGATTCGCTTTCTATTGCAATTACAATAGAAAGCCCAAAATAAATTTTTGAAGAATTTTACAAGTTGATATGTGAAAGACAAATGGTCCAAGAGTAGTCAAAATACTCCCAAAGAACAAAAGGATTAAGTTTGTGGAGTATCTGACTTATAAGATATAGTCTTATCTTACAGTAATAATACTAATAAGCCAATTTGTGGTAGTTTGGGTACATACAAACTTACCAAGAGAACAAGATCCATAATCCAAAATCCAATATACTTGTATATAGAATAGTTATATATATTAGAGTTTGCTGATCATTGGAGAAAGAAGGGCTTTTTATTAAATAAAAAGTACTGAGACAACTGGGTGTTCATATTGGAAGGAAAATGAAAGGAATACTGTGCTAATTTATATTGCTGTGTAAAAAATTACCCAAAATTAGCAACATGAAACAACGTAAATTTGTTATCTCACAGTTTCCACAGGAAGAGTCTGGGCGTAGATATCTGGGTCTACTTTTCAAGGTTGTACCAGGGTGAAACCAAAGCATTGGTCCAGAATGGGATCTCATTTGAAACTGTTGGGCTTCTTCCAGGCTCACTTGTTGGCAGATTTCAATTATTGTGGTTGCAGGACTTAGGCCTTCAGCTCGTAAAGGGCACCCACTGCTCCATGTTAAACGTGCCTTTCCACAGCATGGCAGTTTGTATCTTCAAGTCCAACAGGAGAGCATCTCTTCTGATTTTTTGTTAGCTTGTTTTTTGATCTCTTACTTCTAGACCTTCTTTTCTTTTATTTTATTATTATTATTATTATTATTTTTTAGTCAGGGCCACTCAGAATAATCTCCCTTTCAAAGAAATTAAGTCAACTGATTAGAGACCTTAATTACACATCTGTAATATTCCTTCACCTTTTCCATATAATATAAGCTAATCATAGGATTGATAATCCATCATCTTCATAGATCTTGCCCGCACTGAAGGGTAGGGTATCTTATAGGTAATCTACACCAGGGGATTAGAATATTGGAAGACATCTTAGAATTCTGCCTCCAACACATTCCTACTTTGCAGTTTCTATGAAAGTCAATTCACAAAAGATAAAAGATATGAAGATACATCTGTATGAGCTTGTGTCATTAATATTAATAATTTTTACCAGAGTAGGATTTGTTTATCTACTATTTTATGAGTAGATAAGTAAGTCTTACTATGGTAAAATTAATAACTTATTGTATCAAGTAATCTAACAAGGAAGCTGTGAACTTGAAGCTATTGCAACACATATAATGTAAGGAATTAGTACCCATAATACATAAAGCTGATCTCAACTAGTGAGCCAGGTCCAATGGTGTACTATGAGTTAGCCACAGGTAGAACTAAGATATTGATTTAACTCCCTCTATGGAACAGAAGGTCCTGGGCAAAAAATAAAAATAAAATTTCCATTATAAGCAGCTTCATCTGTTCACCTTTGTGTATTACAAATATTATTGTTTTTAAAGTGTGCTGTAATAGAATGCTTTTGGAATCACCAATATAAAGAATTCTTGCAATCAATAACAAGGAGACAAGCGGTCTGAGGAAAAAAGATGCCAAAACACAAATAGTTGTGTCACAGAAAAGGAAATATGAATGATATATAAACATATAAAAAGATATGCAACTCAATTAGTAATAAGAAAAACACACACACACACACACAAAAACAAAACAACAAAAAACACTTTTACACCTACTAGAGTTGTAGAAATAAATACATTCAATGTACGCAAATGTGAACATTTGAATTGGTAAAACAATTTTGGAAAACCATATGGGACTAGGTTATAAAATGAATTTTTGCTGTTATTACCTAGCAAGTATACTGCCTAGAGACATACTTCAAAATATGAACCAAAAGATGTTTAATTTTGCTTATGACCATGTTGCTTATAGTAGCCAAAAAAAAAAAAAAAGAAAAGAAAATGGGAAACAATGTAAATCTATATTGACAGGTAATTATCAATGGAAAGTATTTATATTTAACTATATGTGGAACAAATACACATATTTTAAAAATTGTGATCATGTAGGCTGGGCACGGTGGCTCATGCCTGTAATCCCAGCACTTTGGGATGCCGAGGCAGGTGGATCACGAGGTCAGGAGATCGAGACCATGGCTAACACAGTGGAACTCGGTCTCTACTAAAAAATACAAAAAAATTAGCCAGGCATGGTGGCTGCCTATAGTCCCAGCTACTCTAGAGGCTGAGGCAGGAGAATGGCATGAACCTGGGAGGCAGAGCTTGCAGTGAACCGAGATCGCACCACTGTATTCCAGCCTGGGCAACACAGCGAGACTCCCTCAAAAAAAAAAAAAAAAAGAGATTATGATCACTTAAAATGTATAGGTCGAAGTTTTCATTCACATGCTATATTTAAATTTGGACAAAACAATTGCTTTAGTCAATGCAAATACTAGAATATTTTATAAAACAAGAAATATGTGTAGTCAAAAATTGTTATACAGCAAAATAACTCAGGATATAAATTCCTTTATTTTTAATTATTTTTATAATAACAAAGTAGAAAATAGTTATAAATATTACTAAAGAAATATCTTCTTCATTTATTCTCTCATAATGTGGTAACCTCAGGCATTCATTTTATCAGGTGATGAACAATAATTTATTATAAATTATTTTTTGCTCAAAACATGACTATATGTAGGACACTATGTAATTTTATGTAATTTCTTTCTGTACTGATTCTTAATTACATCTTTTCAATATTTTAGCTATTTTTAAAATTGCAATTTAATTAAATTTGAATTTTTGCATAGCTATATAAGCAATATATGAATATATGAGTATATTTTAGTAAGAAATAATGCTGAATTACATACCATGGTGTAGTGTGCCTCTCAAAGTATTGTGCTCCCAGTTTTGCCACTCATTTTAATATATTTGAGGAATTCTGTTACCAAAGGATACATAAAAATAAACTTGATACCATTCTGGCAATCTAGATTCAAGTTTAGCTCTAACAAATTTTAAGCTTTACTACTTAATGGAAATAGCACACTCTGTTTCTGCACATTAACTTTATAAAATATACATGCAAATGTGTGGAAAACCACTCTCCACCTACATATACTTTTTATAAAGCCTTCTTAGAGTAGATTTGCTTTAATCATTCTTCAAATAAGAGTATTCTATAAGCAGAAACCATGAAATTTCATTGAACATTTAATGCAGAAAAATACAATACAGTTACATATATATAACTGCTTGTGTGTGTGTGTGTGTGTGTGTGTGGAGAGACAAAGAATGCTTTTCTGTCATTGCTTTTTCTGTTGTTTCTATTACATAATACAATATATTTAAGGAAGGTGTATGTTTCCATTTACTACTAGGTTATCCAGATAAATTTTGAAGAATTTGATCTGGAGATTGGCTATGATACCTTGACAATTGGTGATGGGGGCGAAGTTGGAGATCCTAGGACCGTGCTCCAAGTGTAAGTTCCCAATGTTTCATTTTTGCCTTAGCCTATCGAGTACTAATAAAATTTTACTTTCAAATTATTGTTTTACATTGATTGCTACCACTACTACAGGCAGAAGATGAACAGTAACTTAGTTATTATTAGTAACTTTCATAGAATCTGTTAGTGCTTCTTCAGTGAGATTTAAGGCACTTTGGCTCAGTTCAATTGGGCTTCTCTAACAAAATGCAGTAAACTGAGTGACTTATAAACAATAGAAATGTATTTCTTATAGTTCTTGCTGCTAAGAAGTACCAGATTAAGGTGTCAACAGATTTGATGTCTGGTGAGGGCTTGCTCATCTAACCTGATGCTTCTCAAAATAGAGTCTTTTTGCATCACAAATGCATCACAAATACTTGGTGCACATTTGAAAATGTAGATTTTTAGGCCCGCAAGCCAAACTTAGTGAATCAGCGTCTCCAGGATGTGAATTTATCAATCTATATTTTAACAGACTCCCTGCATGATCCTTATGCACATCAAAGTTTGAGAACAACTGATATAAATGTTAAAAAAATTAGTATCAGCATGGACAGCTACTAGTGGTAATGCCCTTATTGTGTGGGTTTATGTATTTCTTACTGTATACATTGACTAAAGGTAAGCTAATTTTTTTTTCCTTTTTTTCTTTTACTTTTCATTCTCTTCTCCCTCTTCTTTTTATTTTCTTTTTAATTTTAAAAGAAGGCCTCCTAGAACTATTATTCCAGAATCCTGTAATAAACCAGAATCCTGTAATAAACCAGGGGTTAACCTCATAACCACACATAGTATATTATAGACCCCAATATTACTGCTCTTTAGCCTTATTTTTCTAGAAAACAAAGCAAATACAAAACTTACTCACCTTTCTTCATGCACCCTTGACCTCAACTTCAACCTCTCTCCCCTGTCTGCAACACGGATATCATTGATCAACATGATTTACTTGTCTATCTCTGGCCTACTACAGTTCCATTTTGTGTTTCCTAAGGTGTGATGGACAAATGGGCCAGCATTTTACATGTTTTACATGTTCAGTTATTAGTTCGTTTTCACATTGTTTTAAAGAATTACCTGAGACTGGGTTATTTATGAAGAAAAGACATTTAATTTACTTTCAGTTCCACAGGCTTAACAGGAAGCATGACTGGGAGGCCTCGGGAAACTTACAATCATGGCGGAAAGCAAAGGGGAAGCCAGGACCTTCTTCACATGGTGGCAGGGGAGAGAGAGAGAGAGAAAGAAAAGGGGGAAGTCTCACACACGTTAAGACCATCAGATCTTGTGAGAACTCACTTACTATCATGAGAACAGCATGGGAGAAATCCACCCCCCATGATCCAGTCACCTCCCACTAGGTCCCATCTCCAATTTGACATGAGATTTGGGTGGGGACACAAATCCAAACTATATCAATTATGTTGCTTACATTTTTGTAACTTCATTCTTAGTACTTCCTCTCTTGAAAATGATCAGCACTTTTCTTGCACCTGAGCAACGTGTTGAGCCTGTTAGGAATATCACCACACTGACATTTTCCAGAAATAATCAACAGTTCCTACTAAATTTTATTGTAGTTTTATACCTGACAGATTAGATTTCATTTTAATATAAAATTGCATATATTTTACATGCAATATACTGTAAAATTGTATATATATAAATTGGCAGAAACAGAACTGCTCTGATGATTAGCTATGCTTTTTTTCCTGTTATTGTTGTCAAATACAGAGTTTTAAGGAACTGAAAATTACATATAAAAATTTGAATTTATGATTTCTTGTAAAACTGGTGACACTAGATCTTCATAGTCATGTAGCAAAAATTGGCTGGGACTGTCTTCTGCCTCCTTTAGAGAGGGCATAGAATCTTTGTGGCCACTCATCCCTCTATCATTTTCCACTCGAACTTCTAAGGTCCTTTGCTTTCCTTCCTGGGCCTGTAACTACTTAATTATGCAACACCTGATATAAGACAAAATGTGGATTGCTTTCTCTATCAATTTATCCATTGTTTTCCAAGTAAATATGTTTGTTTCTTTACCTGACACTCATAAACATTGAAGTTTCTTGGATATCAATAATATATAGTAAATTTGTTGACTAATCCCCACACATTGCAGATGTTTCTCTCTACATGTTTGATAGCTCCCATCATATGCACTTCAGAAATAAAATTGTAAAACATGCATTTGATGGGACATCTTTTCCTTTTTCTGTTTAAGACAGAAAACTGGATTTTAGGTTCAGATTTTTAAAAACATGGACAAGAAAAAGCAGGCTGGCTAGTCAATTGACTAAAAAAAATATTTTTAAAAAGCTTTTATCATATATCTGCCACAAAAAACTTCATATCTCAGCCTTGTATAAAATATTAGAAATCATCTTCTCCAACTGACATCCAAGATCATAGATGCTATGTCTTCCTATTGCTGCTTTCTTTTAAAAAAAGCTATTTGAGCTAATTAGTATCACACAATTATAGGTGGAACCTATATATATATATATATATAAAATATTGTTATAGTAACCCAGTAAAACACAGAAGAAAGATGTCAAAATTATCTTAAATACTCAACCATTAGAATGGTTTAAATATAAAAAGAGTACATTTATTGGGATTAAGCAGTGATCTGTACAATCTCTAATGTTAAAAAAAAAAATGTGTGTTTGTACCATATTTTTCACCCTGTTTCAATGTTAGAAAAATTCTGAAGACAATCATGAATTCTGATATACCAGCTGATATTCTTTTTGGACAGAAAATCATTGTATAAATAATATGGAATCACTGTTAGATATTATTTTTCAAAAGAATACCAAGTATCCAAATGGTTGTTCCTACACCATCCAATTTAAAGTTTCCGATGAGAACTGCATCTTCAGTCAGGATTAAAAATTAAGGCTTTGAGGCAGGGCCAATATGGCCAACTAGAAGCAGCAGCAATTGGAGGCTCCCATTGAAAAGAACCACAACAGTGTACAAATCCTGCACTGACAATCGAGATATCCAGGTTCTGTCATCAGAACTGACTAGGCAACTGACATAATCCAAGGAGAGGAAGGAAGAGCAGTGTGGTGCAGCAGCCTACCTGAAAGCCACATGGGGCAGGGGAGCCCCCATTCCACAGCCAAGGGAGGTGGTGAGTGTGCTGCCCAGCCTGAGAAACCATGTTTTTTCCACGGAACTGTGCAACCCACAGATCGGATGATCCCAGTCACGAGCACACGCCACCAGGACCTAGGATCCCAACAAGAGAGCCACACAGATTCTCAATAGCCACTTATCTAGAATCTGCTTAAGCCTGCCGAGCTCCCAGGGGAAGGGGTGGCCAGCACCTCAGCTGTGGCTGCCTGATATCTAAGTCATTTGGGCTTCTTGGGGGAGGGTTGGCAGCCAACACTGGGACTGATAGCTGCCTAACACACTAAACTCCCAGGGCAGGGGAAGGGTGGCAGCAATCTCTATAGCTCCAGGCCATGCTTTTCCCCTGTTGGAGCTGGAAAGACTGGATGGCTTGGTCTCAAGAGGTATCCACCATAGCCCAACATACCAGCTGTGGCAGACTGTGGCCAGAGTGCCTCTTCAGGCCTGAACCTGACCCATCCTACCCCACTGGGTTGGGCCTCCCTGCAGGAACTCCAAGAACTCCAGCCAGGGGCTCAGGGACAGAACTCTGATCTCCCTGGGCCTGAGTCCCTAGTGGGAGGGGTGGCCGCAGTCTCCAGGGACCAGCAGACTTAGTTTTTCCTCCTGCTAGTTATGAGCAATCCAGGCAGACCAGGCGAGTGGTTTTCCTTTCAGCAAAGCACACCCCTTCCACCAAGGGACAGTCAAAGTGCTCCATTAAACAGGACCTGCTCCCCATGCCACCCAACTGGATGAGACCCTCCAACAGTTCTCAGACACCCTATTCAGGAGTGTTTCTACTGGCATCAGGTCAGTGGCCCTCAAGGTCAGAGATCCCAGAGGAAGGAACAGGAACCTATCTTTGCTGTTCTCTAGCCTCCTCAGGTGACATCTCCAGAGGCAGGAGTGAACCAGATGATTAGGGCCTGAAGTGAACCCCTAGCAAACTGCAGCAGTCTTACAGAAGAGGGACCTGACCATTGAAAGAAAAACAAACAAACAGAAAGGAACAACAGCAGCATCAACAACAACAAAAAAGTTCCCACAAAAACCCCATCTGAGGGTCTGCAGCCTCAATGATAGAAACTAGACAAACTCAGGAACATGAGAAAAAATTAACAACAACAACAGAAAGATGAAAATCAAAAAGGCCAGAGTGTCTCTGCTCTTCCAAATGATTGCAATGCATCTCCAGCAAGGGCACAGAACTGGACAGAGGATGAGATGGAGGAATTGACAGAAGTAGTCTTCAGATGTTGAGTAATAACAAATTGCTGAGCTAAAGGAGCATGTTCTAACCCAATGCAAAGAAGATAAGAACCTTGATAAAAGGTTATAGGAGCTGCTAACTAGAATAACCAGCATAGAGAGAAATATAAATGACCCGATGAAGTTGAAAAACAGAGCAGGAGAACTTTGTGAATCATACACAGGTATCAATAGCCAAATTGACCAAGTGGAAGAAAGGATATCAGAGTTTGAAGACCATCTTTTTGAAATAAGGCATGCAGACAAGATTAAATAAAAAAGAATGAAAAGGAATGAACAAAATCTCTGAGAAATATGGAACTGTGTCAAAAGACTGAACCTATGATTGATTGGAGTATGGGAAAGAGTTGGTTAGAATGGAACCAACTTGGAAAACACACTTCAGGATATTATCCAGGAGAGCTTCCCCAACCTAGCAAGGCAGCCCAACATTCAAATTCAGGAAATACAGAGAACACCACTAAGATACTCCATAAGAAGATCAACTCCAAGACACATAATCATCAGATTCTCCAAGGTTGAAATAAAAGAAAAAATGTTAAGGGCAGCCAGGGAGAAAGGTCAGGTCACCTACAAAGGGAAATCCATCT